ACGCGCCTATCCACGTTTTGTAACTGACCCCGTGCCAGAGCGACTGGAGTCCGACGACGCGTTGTCTTACATCCTGGTGTGCCCACATCCACAAAGGCGCCATGTGAGTCCTCCGAACGGGGGATAAAGGCGTCAGACTTCTCACCTCCAGACCCAGATCCGTCGTGGAGTCGTAACTTAGTCTGCGTTGTTTACCTGACTGCGGAGGTCTTGGGCGAAGCAGAAGACTACCACTTGCAGCTTGTGGAGTGCTCGTAGCCCCATCATCCCCTCCTACCGCTTCTGCAGCGTGTGAGCTTTGGTGAGGATTGCCTATGGAATGGCTTCCCTCAACCCCCCCCTGACCCCCGCCAAGCGGAGTTCCTTGAGGGGGGGGGGAGGGGGGGGGGGGGGGAAATTCAGACAGCTACCTTGAGCCCCCACAAGACCTGATGGACCGGCCGTCAGGCTCCCCCCCATGGGGGGGACAGCCAACTGCTGTTGGAGAAGATGAAGCCATGGAGCGTAGGCCTGAGCCAGTCATGACGTGCCTCCTTGCGTGAGGTTCATAGACGGAACAACGCCTTGAGGGATAGCACCCGGCGAGAAGGTCGGGTTAAATTGCGCATACTGGTAGGGTTGGAACCCCTGCTGAGCACTCGGAGTCGGGCCACCTGACCTGGCCCCTTGTGCAGGTTGAGAGGAGTTCGGGCCCATCGGCCCTTGGTAGAACGAAGCAGTGTTCCCCGCTTGAGAGAATCCAGGTGGTTAAGCAGATGCTTGAGGCACTCCTTGATCTTGTCGTTGGCGAACTGTGCGCCTGCATTGAGACTCCTCGAGGAAGAAAGCCCTACATCTACGACAGCGAGGTGTATCAGAGATCTCCCTCCGCCGTAATCACGGTGATTTTATCCTTCATGTTGGATCGTGCCGCTGGTTCCAAATCGAATTTGACATTAATTAGAGATGGTTTCTGATGGTCGGCTTCGATAGGATAAGTTTTGATGACCGGGCCGATGGCTTTGCGGATTTGTGCTTCTAGATAGAAGAACGAATCGAGCGGGACCTGAACCGCGACAACCCAAAAGGAGGCAAGCTCCTCTAAAATTCTTTGATCACGTAATTGGGCTTTGGACAACCAGGGTTTGAATTCAAGCTTATATTCTATCGGTCCCACTGTGAACAAGTCCTGTCCTTTGGTTACCAACCAAGCAGCAATCGCCCTACTCTTCGCTACATAGGAAACCACATTAGGGCTTCCTACTTTCACTCTCCTGAAGTTTCTCGGCTTCGTAGGCTCTCACGATATCATCCTTAACCTTTCTTGGAAGGAAACGAGCACCTTCATGAAAAATTATTGTGACGACCCGTTCTTTTAGCCAATTAATCTTAACCCGGTCCATGGAGGCGTTGACCTTGAATCGAACCTCCCTCCCATCTACCTCCATTTCCCCTGGGTCGATACCTGAAGGGCAGATGCCTTCTTCATAACAAAGACGAATGAGTTCACGAGCTTGACGTTCTTCCTCCTGATTCAGACCAGGGTCTGGAGGGGGGGAACGGGGCCCGCGGTCGTCCAGGTCGACCACTTCCTCAACCTCCATGATGACAAGAGATAAGCGTGACCAGAATAATTATGTCCGACCCGATTTCAACAGAGACTCTTGTAAACCCTAAACCGCTGGGGATCAAAGACCTTAAGGACTCTCAGGGGGATAGGGAAGAGAGAGATGAGATAGCGACCAAACAAACTATGAAGCTTTCACCGTGCAAATAACGTTCCGCCAACTTGGTCAAAGCCAAGGAATCCCACCGTCTTGAAGCAAGGAAAACAAGCGAGAGAGGGGGAGGTTTCTTACCGGCTAGACTTATCCGTCAACCAACCGACTCACCTACCAAGTCGTGAGACGGGCCACTCGAACATGGCGAGAGGGAATGGGACAGAACCCTGTGCAACATCATGGCGGTGAAACAACAGGGCGATCAGTCTTCGTCGTTCCCGAGGAGAACACGCGCGGACCGAAACGCCGTAGCGCCGGTGGGGGCGCGCCGGTGAAACTTTCTGCGCTGGTGAAACCTTCCTGGCAGCACTTTCATTTTTTTCTTTTTTCCTTTTAAAAGGTAAGCTATATTCTTCTCTCATTTATTTCATCTTTCTTGGTAGTACCCATCTATCTCGTCCTCTCACTAGTCTATGTATAGTACGGGCCCTGATCTTTCCCCAGCCCACGGGGTAGGTTGGCACCACAGCTGTGGTGCGAGAGCAACGCTATACGGGTCACTCATCATAGTGACGAGGGGTGGGCAGGCATTGTCGATGGGGGAAATCGGCGGTGCTAGCGCCGAGCAATGGCCAGTCACTGCACCTCCCCCTACCCCCCCGCAACCCCACATGGCGGTGTCTAATGGCCAATATTGTCGCTGCATAGCAGCCAACAACTTCAGCCAAGGTCCTGCCAATGCTGGCTTGGGGGGCCAACCGTTTATCTCTAGTTGGTAGAACACCAAGCTTGCCCAGGCACGTACGTGAGGCCAATGGAGATTGAACCCACGACCTCCTGAATGCAACTTCTGTGCCTTACCAACTGAGCTAGGCCGGCAGGCAATTTCCAAAATGCCACACTTGCATGCACCTGGCTGCTAGCCTGTCCAGAAGTAAGTGCTTGAAATCAAAGAGTCCTGTCAGCCACACGGCAAACTAGCACTTCCCAACCCAAAACGCATCGTGCAGCAATTTGTAGGTCACACCTGCATGCATGTGGCTGCTATTCCGTCCAGAAATATTTGTCCAGAAATACTTGAAAATGAAAATTCAAAAAGTCCAAAATTTCCTAAACTAGAAACAGTGCAAGGCTGCCCGCAAATGACTTAACGACCACAAAGCCCTCTCCAACGACAGCAACCACACTAACCGCACAAACGATCAATGGTTGCCTTGTGACCGCCTGCAACCCTCTTGTGCACGCAATGACACTCTGTACACCTTTGTAAGCAGTCTACGACATTCCCCATATGGAAAGTGCTCGCCAAACGACAAAGGACATCCATCTATAGGCAGCCATCCTTGCTGCAAACTTTCTGCATCTCTTCACAAACACGTCCAGATACCCGAATTAAATCCAATCCTCTTCGCTAATGGGACCAGGCTACTGATACCACGCATGGCGTGGGGGCGCAGCCAGGACGGCGGGGGAACTGCCGAGCTCATACCCGGCATACAAACCAGTCCCATCTCATCTTGCAGGTGGAGACGATATGCCCTCAGTAGTCCCTGGGTAGAACGCGGGCCCATACCTGTCCAACTTTATAGGCTGGCTACATTTCAAACATAGAGCCAGCAGTATCGATTTGAGCCACTGGCGCTGCACAATGGCACCAACCGGACAAAAAAGAAAAACGATACTGTCGATCTCGGTGAAGAACGCCGAAATTTGACCCGCCAGGAAACAAGTTTCTATTCTGTTTTATTCCACAGCCTTCACCTAGGCCGAATGCTGGTGAGAGGTGATGTTGCGGGCTCTTTTGAA